GAAAGCACGCGTTCATTTCTTCGTTTTCAAACGAATATTTCGGAAAAATGTGACGAACATTTGGTTACGAGTGAAATTGAAAATTTGAGGTTAAAAAACGGTGGAATAGGTATGTAATTAAATTTTGAACATTGAATATTTCAAAAAATAGGGATAATCAATATTTGGCGAATATCAAACTTTGTAGTTTTACGTAAAATTGTCTAATTTGAGGTTAGAAGTAGATTAGAAATCGAATTGGGCGTACCTGCCTCCCATATCAATTATTACATAATTAAGAGAATGAAAGTAAAAAGTGTGACAACGATTTTGTGAGTGAAATTGAATATATAAATTTCAAATATTCAATTTTATAATTTTGAACGATGTGATTTTCTTGAAAGATCGTCCCGTGTGAAGTTGTCGTTATCGAAGTCTCTGCCGGAAATGGCGTTGCGGTTAACTGAATGGCAAGCAGAAAAACCGTCAGAAAATGATCGAACGGGTCTCAAACTACGGGGTAAAATATCGAATTTCGCGATAGTTAGCAAGGCGGTACACGAGGAGTCACGTGACGTGCGACCTTGGGGAAATAGGACCACGGCAGCTGACGTGCAGGTGCAACCTATTCGCAGGTGCATGTGCGCTGCTGCTGTCGCACCTGCGTACCTTCAGCACGTGGTTCGTCGTGATGATTGGAGATGCGGTGACCGGATGGATTCAGATTTTTCTTTTAGTCCCTTAACCCTTAATTACTCACGTCAGGTCACAGTGATCTGATATAAATTCCCCCACTCTAGTCTCTTGAAATCCCTTCTTCCCTTAGTTAAACAAAATATGAATTTAAGTTTAAATTTAGAAAAGTAAATTTCAAAAGATTTCGTAATTATCATTTGTCGTTACTTGTAAAATTATTTAGTATTAGTTTTATCGAGGAAATAGTAAGTATCGTGCGAAACAATGATAAAAATTTAGATGGGATGCTGAGTTACGTAGTTACGCCATTTTGTAGCACGTACTTAATTAAAGGTTAAGTAGACACTTTTGCAGATGTCTGTCGGGTGAAAATGACCTGTGTCTGAGTAGAGTGAGTAATTAGGGGTTAACACTCTGTTTTACCAATGTCAGTGCAATGTCTTAAAATTCGTCGTGAAAAAATAAAACGTACGAATTTTAACAATATATAATTTGAAACGATTTTATAAAGAACAATTTTATTAATAGAAAGATGTGAAATACGCGATTACATTTCTATAAAATGTAATTCACCATGAATAGGAGAAAAGTATTAAAAAACGTATGAATCTACGAGACGTATACGCTGCGGATTTAACTGTAATCCCACTCGTAACGCGGTCGGTTCCCGAGATTAAGCCGTTTCACGACCCTCAGCGCGAACTACGGGGATCATTGCAACCGTCTTGCATTAAATTTCCATAGACCGTGAGTGGTATTCTAACGAACGATCGTCTCGTTTCTTTCCGTAAAACGAATACGTATATTCGTTCGGCCTTCTTGAATTTCCTATATTTTTTTTGTCGCACTTCGAAAACGGCGGTTTCTTATCAACGACCTCACATCTCCATCCGTTTCCTGGAGTCAACGAAGGTCCCTCATACAACAGTATTTAGACAGGAATGCAGCGAAAAAACGATTCATGGCCGCACGGGACTCGTATGTAGATGGCGCGCACGATTGTCATTCGATCGCATGTCATTTGGTTGTACTAGTTTGGTTAAGCCAAACACCGGTGATTTAGGCAAAACACGCGCGACGTGGAGATAAGATCTCAAGAACTACGAGCAGGTGCAAAGATTTATGAATTTTTTGCTCACCGCGTAACGGTTACCGACCCCTTTTGCATCTTTCACGGTCGTCGCAAGTGCTGTAATTACTGTGAAAGATATGTGTTTGACCTGTAATTAAAGGAAGACTGTTGGAGTCTTCTTCCAGAAACATTAACCACGTAACGAAATTTCACTTTTTTTTTTTCTTTGCGAGTGTTATAATTATCCTTCATTATCGATTATCGATCCTATATATGGAGATGATAATTGCTTTCGGTGTTTTCCGCGTCTATGGGTGGCGTGAACATCGAACATCCATGCTTAAATTTCATTTGCAATATTATTCAAGCAACCCATATGCATGTATAAATGAAATTCGAGTGAAATTAAATTTCATGGGTGACAGTCATAAAAATGGTAATAAAGTGAAAATTCAAGTTCGTCACAGGAACACGTGACGTAATAGGTATCGGGCTAATGCACATTGTAGTGGTGGCAGCGTCACACGCTGAGAATGAACGTGAGTATAATTTACGGGGAAGGGAGAAGCAACACGCGGCTGGAATATTCTAATGGAAAAGGAAGGACACGGAGAGGGTGGCATATTTATCAGTCTAGCATAATTATTCATCTCTCTCTCCTATCTACTTCGAATAACGAATGGAAGCTACGAACTTCATCTCTTATTCCATACCTTTGATCACTAAATCGTACGAGAAAAAATTTCACTTTTTCCAGATAGATGAATATGTTTGTACAGAAATGATTTTCATGAACGAATAAATTTTATACCTTTCTTCTTTCCTTTCCTCATTAACATCATAAAATGTCTCGTATTTCTTGCAATCATCCATCTTTTATATCATTGAAAACGAACTCTATCATTACGTAATAAACATGGCATCTATCGTGTAACCGATACATTTACGAGCACACCGTATTGCTAACACAGAAAGTTTCACTTACAACTGAATCGTACACGGTTCTCGTTTACGTACTGTCTACCAATATACATAAAAATCCGAAGGAGAACACAATAAAATCGAACGAACGAAATTGCCCTCGTTGAAGAACCGCACGATGTTATTACCCGAAGATACAAGACAGTTTTAACGAGCCTCCACTCGAAACGCGTCCACTTTTCATATTCAATTAGAAACTGTCGAACTCGTTCGGTAATTGCAGTTCCCTTCATCATCATGCTCATACGCT